TTTTTCCTGTTCCTCATCATCTTCCTCTTCTTCCTTTTCTTTTTACGTAAAAGATTTTTTATTATACGTCGGAGACGTTGGACTGATCGAAGTCTCCGGCGCTTGTTTTTCCATTCGCATTACAATTAATCATTATATTTACCCTAAAACGCAATCCGCGCGTATTCACGTATTTAAAAAGAATAGAATAGTGAATCGATACAACGTATACACCACTGTTTTTTTCCGTTTTCTTTTTTCTTTGCTAGAATAGATTAGGAGACAATTACAGAATGATCTTTACGGACGAAGCGATGAAAATACCTATGCGATCTCAAATATTGCTGATAAAATTGATTTTTCGCGTCATATCCTGTTAGGGTAATAAATTTTTTTTGCAAAGAAATCGCAATTTCCTTTTAATTCGAAGAATTTTCATGCGTTAGTGATCACCAAATCGTCACGAAAGATTTTTCATTTACCGCGAAGGAAACATAGGTACTTTCATGCTGCAAAATACATTTCCACATTCGATATACTAGTTAAGAGACATTACGAATTGTACTAATTTTCTTTTGCTACGTGATACATCATAATATTAAAAGAGGAGCAAGTTAAAAATGATCATTATCATATTTGTTCGGTTTCCTTTTTATAAGATAGCACAAATTATAAGATTTTTCTAGATATTTTCATCGTTATTATCGGAGAAAAATTCGCCATCTCACCTATTCATCATTTATCTTTGTTCCGACGATTTAAAATTAGGCCCAGAGCAGCCGGCAATGGATTTTAATACATCACGTCATTCGCTTGCCATGTGAAAACACATGCTTAATACGAAGAAATATACAAATACCAAAGAGATGCCGCCTCTTTTCTCATCGAGATAATTATAAACTATAGCGTAATTATCTACTTTATACAACATTTACTACACACATGTCTTTGATAAACTAATCTTTTACTTGTATAATTCAGTTGTTGGAATCCCGAATTAACGCATAAACTAAAAATCTTCACTCTTTCAAATGGAAAATTTATTATATTCTTAGTCATCGATTGTGCCGTGTAACGAGATCAATTTACTATACTACAATATTCATAAAATATTTACGAATAATAATTAGGGCCCGGATGTTCGTGCAGAAAAACTACTGCGCATGTGTTGTTTATATTGAGGTCGTGTGCAAGCCGAAATGTTGCTATCTTAGTTACGTTAGTAATCTAGTACGTTAGTAAACACTCGACTCATTTGCGCAGCGGTTTTCCGCGCGCGCTCCATGATCATGCACGAACATCCGGGTCCTAATAACAATTTGTGCCATGAACTTACGTATCTTTCCGATCGTGTTCGATGCCGTTTACATTGGTGTTCACACTGCTTGAATCAATGCGACTATAATTACATTGTTTATCGCACATTACAAAAACTTAAAAAATATTTCATGAGATCTGCACACATACAATTGATATACAAAAAATTTAAGTATTTTTTCATCTTAATAAACAATTTTGAAAAACAGAATTATGAAATAATATACAAAGCACGATATTGTATTCTGTAACATGATATTACAGAATATATTAATATATGCGTATATTAAATTATTACAAATTATATATTCTTTAAAGAAAAGAATAAACTGTATATTAATTGCAAAATCCCATCGTCATATTTACAACACATACATGAGAAAAATTATATCTATACATGCCTAATACCTAGAGATTAACTATTGCTGCAGGAGATAAAATTAAAGAATAGATTATATACAGCAATATAAAAAAGTCTTCCCTATTTCGATAAAACTTTTAGCGAATCAGTGTATATCTGTGTAAAGTGTTGTAAATACAGATTGCACGTTTTAATCATTTGCATTAAATAAATTAATGAAAAATAAAAATTGCAAATGAGGTAAATCCGGAGACAAATATTTAACGTACAAGTACGTTTACACTGTAATCATGTATTCAAAATATTGCCTATTTTATAATATTGTTAAAAACTGTCTAATAGATATTTTCTACGATAACTAAAATAATTAGAGCCTACATATTCTTTTTTTGGTAGCTGCGACTAAAGATAAGCAAGATATCATGCGAATAGAAATGCAGTGGCGGAAAGTACGCGAAGACGTTCGCGCGTGATTGTATACAAAAAAAAAAATTCCCTCGTGTTCCTCGGTGGCAACTGAATTAACAAGTAGTAGATTGTGATACAGAGCACATATATATTAATCGGACCCAAACGGATACCTAAAGTGCGGGGCGAATGTTGAACTGATCTCACTTGATGTTATGACAGACGTGTGTGATGAACATCATTACATTATATCATACTTACAAATACACCCGCTACATTATCATCTATATATGTTTTCTTGTTCTTCTTATATAACATTACCATATTATATCAATATATACGTGGCCAATAAGAACAGATTTGTACTTGCATTGAAATTGTTTTAAGTCGATCACTCCAATCACTTCGCACAGCCCAGTATAGCATGTATTTCATATCTTTTTTGTTTTCGTTTAAAAATACAATTTTTTTCTTTTTTTTCTCATTGTGTGGATGGCAGCATTCTTATCAAAAGGTTGGCTTGGAGAATGTTGTAATGACATTTAGGAAGGGGCGAAGGGAGATTCCCTTTAAGGTATGTGTCTCTCTCTCTCTCTCTCTCTCTCTCTCTCTCTCTCTCTCTCTCTCTCTCTCTCTCTCTCTCTCTCTCTCTAGTATACCACTACTAGTTTACTAATAAATGTGTAAATGTGTTCCAATTGTGTTAAATGTCGATATCACAGAGGCTTCTTGATCGGAATATCGTCGTTTTCATTTTCATTATTTTTTTTGTAGGAAAATAGGTATCTACACATATTATGATGGTAAATAGAGAGGTTACAATAATCTTTAGGCATGGGAGTAAGATAGCAATCTTAAAAATGCAATACACTATACATGGGCTAGCTAAACGCATTACAACACGGCTCCCTTCACCTGGTCGTTAGAATTGTGTTCATCGGTATCCCGTCGACAGCGATCGCTGTTGATTGAATGTGCGGCAATGCATGGAGTATTTGTGTGTAACATTCGCTATTATAATAAGAGTAATGCGAGTGATATTGCTAGAGCCAGAAGTAGAGAAGAAGTGATGCAAATCTTTTTTTCCCCCCTTTTTATTTTCGTTATTGATTCTTCGTCTTCTTACGGTTACTTGGGCCTAGATCGCAGCGGCTGCTACCTGCGTGAGATCAAACCGTTGCTTGTTCCTACTGTCGGTGTCATTTCTAACTCCACTAACAGAGGAAAGTGATCTAAAATATGAAACAAAATGTCAATGCTATCCTTATCTTTATTAGCGGAATGTAAACAAAAATGATATGAAACATAAGAAAAAACTCACCCGATGGAACATGAGGATGAGGACATCCTACCACTTTATGCTCTTTAAACCATTCTGGGCTCAACGGACCCAGGAGGCCCAGCGGCACCATACTTTGTTTCGAATAGAAAATGTAATCTATTATGCCTTTAAATTCGAATCTGCAAGTGTAAAATAAACGCGTTAGATATTCGCGTGTATACTGTATTATACATGTATAAAACTACATTATACATGTATAAAATATTGCGCAAAGAAACGAGTGTACTCACGTGTAGTTGGTGTAGGGCATAATGTCCTCGCTATAGGCGGATGCAAGTTTGAAAGAATGCGTGAATTCGTTGGGTTTATCGCAGCCAGAGATCTTTTGTAAACACGATTTATATGCTAAATCCTTAAAATCACGATGATCGGCCGCCACGCGTCCGGATGTAAGAAACTCGATCACACCTGCGTCAGTGATTTACTACTATTAGTTTCGTTTTTTTACCAAGTAACATACACGCATTAGTAATTATTAAATAACAAAATAGACAATTTAAAGAAAAATTTAAGTGAGATCATTAATACGTGCGTTACCAGAATCAGGTAAAGAATTGAAGTCGCCACAAAGCAACAGTTGAACGTTGGAAGAGTCAGGCTTGTGGCCGGGTCTGAAAGACTGGCCAGCTTGGTCCAAAATGGAACGTAATTCATTGCTCAGCATCATCGTCTGTATTAATTTTACATCGCAGAATTCGGGATCCCAATGGATGTGCGCCGTACAAACTAAAATTGGTTGTTGCACCTGTGCCGGGTCAGATGGAACACCTGTAAAAAGATGTAAGTGAGCGGATTCAGACAAACGATTCGTACAATTTTCCAAGAGTTCAAACTTTTCAAGTAAAAATTTAGGAGGAAAAAGAATTGACAGGAAAAAAAAACAACGATTCATATTGTATTTGGATATTTTATTTGGATATATTGCAATAATATTTAGGATAATTACAAAAATATATCGTGCTATCAGCGTAATTTATTACAGAATCTTATTGATATGTCGAAAAATCAAATGTTTTTTGATCGTTGTAAATTGATTATTAATTCTTATGCTTGCATATTTATACTACTAAATTATTTTGAAGTTATTTAAATATTATGCAGCCAGATTATTTATTATTACAAATTTTCACAAGTGTGCTAAGTAAGAAATACATTTTTAATCAGGAGCAACTTAAAATAAGTCTTAGCCATAAAATTAAAATTTCTAGTGGAGATATATATACAAATATTGTATTCTTAAAAATAAAGAAATATTTTACTTCGTAAATTATTTAGTGTTTAATAATACAGTACAATTGAATTAGGCTTGCAGTCTACATGCTAACAATATTTGATAAGAATAACACAAATTAATATCATAAACTTTATTTAGAAATAGTAACAAATGGCTTAATCTAATTTTAGCACTAAATATAACATATGCTCACATGTTACTCTTAAAATAAGCGTATTTAGCAAAATATGCTTATTAAAATAATCCAGAAAATTATTAAAAATGCCAGAAAACTAATTAACTGTATATTATTCTATAGCACTATTGACAATATAGATTATTGTGTTACTAAATGTGCAAAAAGTATAAATATTGCTTCATCATATACATATAGTTGTTGGCACCAATCTGTGTGAAAACAAAAAATTCTTGTTTAGATCTGACAAGTTTATTTGATCAAGGATAAAAGTTATATACACATTTGATTCCTTTCTTAAAATATAATTATCAACGTAAATACGCCATAAAGAAGCAAACATGGATAAGCTATAAGTAGTTTCTGATCTTCCTCTCCCGACATAGTGGAAAAAAGTCTAGAAGCAGAGAGTGATGCCCAAGCAACAGCCAGGATTGCGAGAATCAAACCCATCGGGCCTCGCAATGTAGTGAAGACACCGAAGCCTGCCAAAACGACCACCGGCAATAAGCAATATCCTAGTACAGACGCAACGGATGACATGGTGATGTTACTGCTGTTACTCATTAGAGATTGTAGAATGTACATGAGTATGCAGGAGGTCATGGCTAATCCATATACATAGCCAAAGTGTGCCTTTGAACCAGCTAACAGAAGAAATGCTGCAAGGACTAAGCAGAACACCACAGGCCCTGCCAAGTCTGAGTCTTGCAGCAAATAACTTGCGTCGTCGATCTGTCCTTTCCTATGAAAGGGATTTAACACAGCCAAAGTCTTTTGTATTATCCGATCGGGATCGATGCCGAGCTCTTCCAGCAGAGGTGGCTCATCTTCTTCGTCTCCGAAACCAGTGGTGCCTGAAAGAGTATCGTGAATGTTTTCTAGCTTCTTATACAAGCTGACATCTTAATCCTTGAGCAGATGTCTTGATACATCAAATATAACGCTGTTCATTCTGACGTGCGATGACAAATGTCCTTCGAATTATATTCAGGCGATTTCCGTATCTACTTTCCAGTTTATGAATGCGTCATATGCCACGTAAGTAAGTACGCGTTGATGTAAATTCTGTCAGCTCGAGAATTAAGATGATTGCAGGCGCGCCGTCTCAATCTCTTTCTTTACCTTTCGCATAATCGTCCTGTGTGAACAAATCACCGCCGTAGGGACTCTGTGTAGGATCCAGAAAGCTCTTTTGCCCATACGAATAATCGCCGGGCATCTGCTCGTATGTTTGAAATTCAAGTTGTTGGTTAGGTTGGCCAAAACCGGACGCGTCAAAGTTGAACTGGCCCTGTGGCGGCGCCCAATAATTGTTATCCTGGCCGGTGTATCCGGACATCCTGTCGTCGTAATCGTGCTTCTACTTCTTCTTCAGTAAATCCTGTTTTTTTCTGAATTCGAGTAACTCGAAATAACACATCGATCCGTGTTGTGGTAGAGTTTTCAGGTTAGGTTGGATCACTAGTGATCCAATCATCCAACCAATAGCTATTGCGAAATAGCATCGATATAACAGCACGTTTCTTTAGCGACATTAGATAAGTAACAGTTTGCTTTTAAATAATTTGTGAAGAAATGTTTCTATAAAAAATATCTTATTAGTCTCTTCTTGAATAAATAAATACATGTATAATATATGACTATTTAAACAAGTGTTATTCCAGTATTTATAAATATAGAAACTTATCCGCGTTTCTATATTTATATATTAAACACGTATTTTTACGTTAATTTGTATGAGTTTTAATGTGCACCAGTGCGTCCAATCGAATTCGCTGTAAGAATGTATTCCTTTTGCCGATACTTGATTAACCAATATTTTTCTGTCAAGTTGAAAAATAATTTTTCCTCTTTTCTAAGAAATTTTGAAATTATATCACTTTGAAGCAAAGACGATTTTTTTTCTCTCTATAATTTATTATACCTTCCTCTATAATCTATTTTTTTATATCTTTGTTTTCCCATTTGTATTTTTTATGTTATTAACTTATTATTATGTTATTAATTTATATAAGAGTTATTAAACTTATGTTAGTTTTAGTTTCTTACTTTTTTCTTTTTTGTGATGATTTTTCACATAGTTCAACAATAATTTAGTTATGTATTCAAATATATAATTAAAAGAACTTTACACACACATACACACACAAAAGAACTTCATATACGTGAAATTGCGGAAGCTCATCGTCTTTCAGCTCGATTCACAATCTCTCCCTTCGTTATTAATTGCAAGGTTGATTAAGGTGAAACGAAGCGGGTATGTAGTGCTTTAGTATCAAGTTATCAGTACACAATTAGAACATTCATCAGCGTTAAGAGAGTGTAAATCCCGAATCTTCCGTTCGGAGAGCCAGCTCGGCTCGGCTCTCAAGCCTGTAATAAGGTTCGTAAATTAGCACCGCTGATACTCTCCCGTTGCGCAATTACAGCAGATTAATGCCGTATTTATTTTCCGGTACCGATAAATTCCCCTAGCGGTCAGCCGACTGGAAATCGTCGGACTAGAAAACACTTTGCCGCAACAAGTACGCGCATAGAGTGTTCTATAAACAAAGGAGTGGGTTGATTTTTTTTTTCAAATCCTTCTCTCCGTCCGTATTTAAAAAAAATGACAATGACGAAGGACCTTTCAATACCACGACACGTAATTTCCGTTTTTTGAAAACATGAATTTACGTGACTCTGGAAACAAGTTCTTTAAACGCGACAGAGTCAATAGCAGTCCGAAGTAAAAAGCTCCACGATATTTCATGGATTCTGTATATAGAATCGTTCCTTCGCCCCCGAGCAGATTGATATCTCGCGATTCAACCTTTACGGTATATTAACTTACTCGTGACTTAAGTAATTCCCGGCACGTGGTAGGAAGTCAAGTTGTTCGCGATAAAGGAGATGCTAACGGTACGATCCTGAGATGGTCATTCGAAATTAACGCCTGAGTGCGTCCATTACCGGAAATCAGTGTGTTAACCCGTGTTACTGACCTTCTCAATCGATTAATCATTCCGTGGAATGATTTCTCATCGCTTTCGATGATAGATGGAAAAGAAAAGAATTTAATATTAAGCTAATTTATCCCTCAATCAGCATAATTGTTCAACAGTGCGAATAAAATTACCATGAATTTAAATTTTAGAGAATGTATTGTTAAAAGGAAATGTATAAAAGCAAAAAATAAATCTTTCTTTTAATTTAAAAAAAAAGAGAGTTTTAAGAAAATTAGAGAAGAGAATTAATTTGTTTATTGTGTCGGATTAGCTTATAAATTAGATACTTTATTTAAACTTTTCGCGATAATTTTTGACCTAATCGCGATATTTTATGGAAACTTTTTAATATAACTTTCAAATTCTTCAAGCAATCGACTTTAATGCAAAAATCGTGATCGTCCCTGAGGATTAAACAGCTCTTAAAGTTCTTCTTCATTGCTCTTCGAGTCCGTGGCGATTCTCCTCTGAGATTATCGGACGTAAAAATCGTTATTTAATACTCCCGTGTGAAATCTAAAGGGGGGGGGGGGGGGGGGGGGACTCTCGAACACAATATCGTAAATCCACCGTTTAATTGCGCCCGCGAGGATCCGCTTTTACTATCAGGGGGCCTTATAGATTAACCCTGCTTAAACTAGCTGTTTTGCCTTGCGTTTCTAATCTCTTGCACTACGTTCTTTCATAAGTAATGTTCCTCAAGAATCACCTTGCTCTACAAGAAGACAAACAGCCGATTATCCGTAGAAAAAAAAATTACGTTTTGGAATTAGAGTTTTGATTATATGTATAGTCAAAACTATATTACATTTTATTGCTTATCTATTTAAACTTTTATTGCCTGTATAAAATAATATTATAGATGAATATTGCTTTAGATGCAGATCTAAAAAGAATTTTGTTTGAAACCATTAAAATAATTATAGGACGCTCAAATTGGTTGTTTATAGAATGTTAACTTTTTGTAGAATGTCATCAATGTTTAAGTGTTCTATGTAATTATTTTGATAGTCTAACAAAATTATTTTCGGATTTGTATCTAGCTAAGTTTTTAGGTATTTCAGTAACACCGTTTTTTCCGTATATATATTTCTGAATTAGCAACAGAATTGTTTACTCAAAGTTCATTGCGAGAACATTACTATTCAAATGTTGCGTAACACGACGAGATTAGAGAGCCGGTAATGCGGCTGCTCGCCATCGGCAATAGGATATTCCGGAGTGTAAATCAAGCCAGATTAGAATAGAGGGTTAAGGTGTGCCTTCGATAGCGATTGTACGACAATCGAACCCGCGAACCCGCAGTCGCCAGGTCGAGCCGGGGGCCGTCTCGTAAATTACTGAAGGAATCAATATCGATTCTCCCCCTCTGCCACCGAATATCCTCTGGAGAGAAGCTTTTGTACAAGGAACTCTGCAATTCTGTGAACTGGCTTTTACGAAGGATCACAATTCGAGGCTAATTCCGTTTTGAAACTCTGAAGTGACAGTAAAAAAATTATATCGATATTCAATTGATATTTTTAATAATAATAAGTATAGAAGTTTACTTCGATCTCTGCTAAAATGTAAAAAACACATACTATAATTAACAGGATAAAGAAAACATATAATATTATTAAAATTAATATTACATTATTAAAAATATATCGTTATTAATATTAATTTATCGTAAACTAATAAAGATAATTATTATATTGTCAGTAAAAACTGAGCATTTAAATATTTTCCTGTGTTTAGTGTAAAAAAGAGAAAAAGAGAAAAGAATATGCAGAAATAATTGTAATGTGAGATTCGAAGAAATGGCGGTTGAGAAATTGCAGGATGTTTAAAATTAAATGCCAATGTGTGTCATTAAAACAGATTCGTCTTCATGATTGCGCATTGACTTGTACCGCGCCACATCATTTTACGCAGACTTCTCGCTCTCTTTCTTTCTCATTTCTTGCTTTGCATAGATATTCATACGAAGAATGATGCGTCCGGTATTAAAGCGCTCTCGTGAATGATTACGAGTGTCATTCCGCGAGGAGTTCGCTTCGTCTTTGCGAACATTGCTCAAGAGTCACCTATCCAATTAGACCGTTCTGATGTGTTTAATGAGACACTCGGTGCCGATACGTCAACCCTCCGACAAATCCACAGGACGTTTCAAAACACACCGAAGATGTGATTCTTTGAAAGTATGAAACGCAAGATGGAATTTCATTGCAGATTAAAAAAGGAATTAATTGAAGAAATGTTTTTGGATATTTTTTAAAGAATAGATTTTAAATGTTATCGTGAAAATTTTTATGTAAAACAAAATGATATGATTTCAGGTATACACTATTCTCACACACATTACTGATATAAATCCTACTTCATTATTATTATTCTAAAAATAGTGAATAATAATATCTACGCATAAATGAGGTGATGCTGTACTAATAAATAATATCAAATAAAAATTAAGCAACTTAAATAAATTAAATAACTGTCAGTTATATTATTCTCTACTATTATTTATTTATTATTGGTGTTAATAAAATATACATCACCGTTCATAAGTTCAAGCGAATAAACTTGCATACATACACTTGCGATTTTCACGCATCTCACAAAAGTTAAGTTAAAAACTATTTTTAAACAATTTTTTAAAGATTTATGCTAATCGGAAGCATAGTAATAAAAACTGTTTTCTTCTTTCTTTTTTCTTTAAACTCTTTTCAAAGTTAAAAACATTGTGTGTGTGTGTGTGTGTGTGTGTGTGTGAGAAAATGAGTTTTTACATAAAAAAATTCGATATTGCTGCGAAAAATCACTGCTAATTTAAAACAAAAAATTATTTTATGGCTTAGAAACTTATTTCGTTAATTTTTATCCGATAATGTTTCACTAAGTCACAATATGTAATTTACGAACAAATTTAGAAACAAACAACAAATTTATAGCTCTATCTTTCCTCTTTAAAATGCATTTACGAAAATTTACTTCTCTGTGATTCTTTTTCTCCGAGATATTTAATTTTTCGTGAGATGTGAAAAAATCGCCAGCGTCTCCGAATTTATAAATGGTAATGTATGAGTATATGAAACAGTCTGTAGAAGGATAGGTTGCCTTAAGTTACGTTGAAAAATAGAAAAACCACGCACTTACTTATCATGCATGCATACGTGCATAGTTATGGACTTTTCAGTGTATGGTGGCTCAATATATCTGTGAAAAATCGAGTGGAGTGACACACGTGAAGGAACATACGTCCCGAGATATTCATTCGAGATAGGATTGGCGTCTCTGCAATATGTGCGTATTATAAAGCCTACGAGAGTCTGCTCGCGATTCTGCTTCGCCTCGGGCGGAGGATGCTGAACGTGCTCCCGAAGCGAACGCGCTCCTCTTCTCACGGGACACGTTGCGTCGCCAAGCGCGATTAATTAAGCGACAAGCTGTCCCATGTGTAACGAACGACGTGTGGGGTGGGGTTCTCGTGGTTACTCGTTCGCTCGCGAATTCAATTACCCGACGATTTATCTGCCG